ATCAAAATCTCGCCCAATTTACGTCCGTACGTACAAATTTGTACTACCGTACTGTACTACTTTACTAACTACCTTAACAAGAAATATGTAAAATAAAAAATATATATCGGTGTGTTTCTTATTTTAATATCACAATTTCACAATCATTTATCAATTTAACTTCAGAATAATAAGCACTTGAATTTTCTTGTTTTGACAAGATAAATTGTCGATAAAGATATTTTATTTAGTTACAAAATCAGAGAAATATTTTAATTGAATCCTAAACAATACAAGAATTAGATATATACAGTATATATATAGTAATAATACTTTCTTATGTGTATATCTAAGTCGAATGTATAACTTTTAAATTGTTATACGATTAATTTCGTATCCCAACCAGTCAAGTTTTTCTTTCATTAAAGTTTTAAGATATTTTATATCATTCGTGTTTAATAAATGTGGTTTTCTTGAAAGTGATTTAAGTTTTTCAATATCTTTGAAAGTGCTTGAGAACCCGACCTGTAGAAGACTTATTAAGTGTTTGGCAATTTTTCAAACTGGTTAAGTCTTCTAAATTTTTTTTTTAGCTATTTGCCAGCAAGGATGCTTTGAAAGTATCATAATTCTGTATTCAACCAGAAATATATATTTCGATATATAGTCTTATAATACTATAATATTTTATATTAGCCATCTGTTTTTAAATTACGTATTCCCGAAATCACAAACTTAACCGAATTGGCCGAAAAATCATTCGGCAAATTTTCATGATGTCCCAGGAATTATGATAATAGCTGTAAGACGAAAATTTGAGATAAAACAAAAAGTAGGTATTAATCTCAACCGGTTGTAATCGGTTGACATAAAATAATTCAGTTCGGTTAACCGATTGCGGATTTTTTTCTCGGTTCAAATCACTATTTTGTATACTATACATAGAGATTTTTTTGTAAAGTTTCAAAGGCTGTTTTATTAGTAAAATTTTAAGTTATATACATATATACCTGTGTTTCATTCACTAATACGTATACAAATAAATAGAAATCGCCTTTTTAATAAAATTTTCAATGATAACAATGCCTTTTGATAAAAGCAATTTTTACTAAAAAGCTTGCAACTAGTGATAAAACTAGAGGGGGTAAAAATTAAAATGTTACACGCCGTGACAATTAAACATTATCTATCTTTATAGTCTCTTTTGAAACAAAAAAAATATATATATTTGAATAAACTGTTTTTCAATAAAAATTTTTCATGTCAATTGCAAATGTATATCAGCTGATTTTTGGAATTATTGATACTTTTGTAGTAAATAATTTTTTTGATTATTTTACCATCAGAAGACCGCATTGATGAAACGATTCCAACAAGTTCAAAATCGCTAAAATTCAATCACAGGATCCCGAGATTGTTAAGGTTTAGTGTCTTTTCGGGTGGTTTAGGACTGGTTTAACCAATCTTAAATACCCGAAGTGGCACAAAACCTTAACGATCTCGGGGTCCTGCGATTGGATTTTAGTGGTAGTTGTTTTTGGACTCGCCGGAATCGTCTCATTAATGCGGTTGTTGGTGGTAAATTATCCAAACGGACTAATAATCAAAAATTATTTACCGCAAAAGTTAATAATTCCAAAAAAATCGGCTGAATTCGTCGTAAATATAATGTCTTGCATCATGTGAGTCAATATATATGCTATATATAAGGAACGTATCGGTATACGTAACAGGTAACATTTAATTAAGTTAATACAATTGTAAATTCACGCAATTGTGTGCCACAATTCTTACAACCGTGGCAAATTTGAAATTTTTTTGTTAACATTGTAAATCATTCCATGTAATACCGTGTTACGGAAAACTATCTTCCGAACCCCAACAATTGCAAATTCAACCCTTTTATAAAACATTGGGAAATTCGAATATCTTTTTTTACCATCTTAATTCAATTAACAATCTAACTTTGCAACAAGAAAATACAAGTTTTTTTACTTCTAAAAAATGGCCAATTCAACATTAAAAAATCGTACAACTACCTCTACTAAGTCTACCGAGTCTTCACCTTTTACACCAGATAGTGACCAAATTAGCCTGATCTTTTCAGCTAAATATACTTTCCCAGTCAAAAAAACAAACATAAATTACAAAACGTTACCAAAATTCATTGATAATACTTTGCGATATTTGAATACATTTAATTATCCTTATGAAATGTTTTATGTTGAAGACGGAAAGGAGATTGCGGTTAAATCGAAAAAATTCGGATCCGATGAAGGTTTTGAAAGGACTTTGTGAAAGTGACAAGAATATTGATAAAGTCTATTTTATTGCTGATAAGGAGGTATGAAAAATAGGTTTTATAAATTTTTTCATATACGTATGTATATATCATTCATTATCCTTTTATGATATAGGGTGGAATCACAACTTTTTTATACTACAACGTTGACTTCATGTTACTTATTGTATTAGTATCATGTCTCACTTGGTTGACTATCACTGGGTCTTACGAATCCCAGATGGCGTCATGCTTTTTTGGAATTGTCTTAGCTTTGAGAATGTTTAGATATCTAAGATAAATTAGTGCTTTTATATAATATTTAATGTAATTATCGGGTTATAAGGTATACATTAGGTTCTTGTAATATTAATTTTATTTATTTTGCTCAAGGTTTTAGCATAAATTTATTATTAGCGAGGAATAAATAAATTACTGTATGAATGTTCTTTATGTAATTACATACATAATTACATACATAATTTGAAGAGACTACGGTAATACATAGCTATAAATAACACAAAGCAACATAAATAATACAAATATTGTAATTATATATGAAATTTAAATAAATACATATTTAGTAAATTTTTTACTTTTCAGCCAAGGCAAGAACAAAAGGCCAAGTAATTTTTAAAATCTGGTCATCCTTCCATTCTTCATCCTTCTTAATTTCCTCAAAAAACTTGTCAATTGGATCTTCTATTTTCTGGTTTTCTTTTTGATACTTGGACATATAATTCTTGTAGGAACTCCAAGTCTAAAAAAACAAACCAACCATATATATATGTATATATATATATTTAAGAAAAAAATTCAAACCGATATTTCTTAAACTCACCTTCATATAGTTTTTCAATCGATCAACACTCCATTCCTGATTTACAAAACTTTCACCACTCTTCATTTTTCCTTCCTTCTCATCAAATTCATGCCTTTCCCAAATAATATTTCTGAACAATTCATCAGGAATCACAATATCTCTATACAAATTTTCTATTACTACTCTTCCCTGATCCCAATAATTACCCATTGTCTTTGATCCAAATTCTAATATTTTTTTCGAAGCTGTTGGATATCCATCGACAACATGATACCCATATCCCCATATGGCTAATGTTCCACTTTGTTTTAAAACTCTCCATGCTTCTTTAAAAAACTTTTCTCCATCGAACCAGTGAGCTGCTTGGCCCACTGTCAATAAGTCAAATGTCGAATCTTGGAATTGAGAAAGATCTTCAGCAGAGCTAACCGAATATTGAATATTTGGAGAACTAGAAGCAGAAGAAAGCATAGTTTGTGATATGTCAGTAGCATACACTTGTTGAAAGGTTTTGGATAGTTCTTTGGCAATGTAACCGGTGCCAGTCGCAATGTCTAAGGCGGTGGAAAAAGATGAAGAATGTGATGCATGGTAAGCATAAACTTTTGAGTAGAGGTGGGCCGAATACCTGAATTTAGGATTTAAGAAAAAATTGAAAAGATTAATTTGAAATTTATTTTCGATCTGCTCAAAAATTAACTAACATTGGACGATAAGCATCGTATGCAGCGCTATTATAATCAGGATCAGAGAAAGTAGTGGACTTTTCTTTAGCAGAATTAATATTATTCGTGGTAGACATTGCAGGAAATCGAATTAAGTAGGGGGTAATTCTTTTTAAACTTGTCTTTATGGTATAATTCATATATAATTATATATGAAAGCTCAATCTACAGTCATGTATACAGTTATATATATACAATTATATACAATCAAACTTCTCTTTATATAACATTCAATACTGTGTGCATTTAATTTGCATTATTATTGCATATGATTTATTAGTAATCTTTAAAATAATTTAGTCATTATTTTTAGTGAGTCATTTGTGATAGGTACTATGTATTACCTAACTAAGACCTTATAATAGAAATGATCGATATACAACGATTAACATCTCTTTATAAACAACTCTTATTGTTGAATATGAGGATATCATTTACAATTAGTAATGTGATCATAGCTCTGAAAAACATTATTATTAAATTCAAAAAAATAATTACGAAATTAAAAACTAATGAGTCGCACAAATGTTATCAACCTTTCTCCAAATTATAATTAATGATTGTTCTTTACTAATTGTTAGAAACAAGCATCTTTTAATCATAGATCGTATTTTCCATATACGTATATACACGTATATATATATATATAAGACGTTGAAGGGGTACGTAACGGTAAACTTCTCATTTTTAATATACTCGATTTGGGAATCTAGTTAGCGGTAATACAAAACCATTTTGGGAATAATAATAATTAGCGTTAGGGTAATACATTGTACGTGCGTACGTCTTTGTGAGATTCTTGATTTTTAATTCAAGAGACTTTTATTATTATGCTATTCGATTCCTCTCGCCGAGAGGAATCGAGTAGTGCAAAAATCACGAATCCAATCACTGGTTACAAGAGATCCTAACTCGTCAAAATATCTCGTGACCTGGTAACCTGGTAGTAATTGGGTTCGAACAATTTTTCATCATTCGATACTTCTCAGCGAAAAGAATCAAATGATATAAAAAATTGAACAAATTTGTACATTGTCTTTCCTTGTCAAAAAAGTCTTTGTCATCTTTATCTCGTAATCTAATGCTTGGATTCGAGTGAATTTTGCACCATTCGAAGTCTTTCAACGAGAAGGAATTCAAAAGATCATTCTTCGAAATCTTAATGCTCAAAAATTTTTTAACGTTCTCAATATAAGAATAATTTTCTTAAAAAAATTTGTAAATGTTAGTTAATTCATATGTGTTCTCTAAGAACTCTGGGAACTCCAAACTTCAAACGCTGACCTGGTCACGAGATCACAATTCACCCTTCACTTGTCACAGTACCCCATTTATAATTTGCTTTTGCAAATAAACATAATTTACATAAAAAAAATATAGCTCTGTTTTTAGAAATTTCACTATAAATGTTTAATTTTTGGGTAATAAATATGTCTTAATTAGGGATAGATCATTTAAAAAAACAACCAATTAGCGGGATTATTAAACCTGAACATCAAAATATTACGACATTGTGCTGTAAGCGGTTTTTCGGACGCCAAAATAGATAAATCAGCACTCTTGGATTCTCGATCAGCAGATTCCTGATAATAAATGAAAAAAATTGAAAAAAATTAAACAAAAATTTTTTTTTCGATAATTTAAAAGATTACATTTAGTGGACGACTATCTTTCTTTAAGCACACAGATAACAATGTCTTTCAGAAACAAAAATTTTTATAGTGTGCTCGACCGATTAATTCCTTCTGATATATTAAATCAGGGTAAATTAAGAAAAATTTTCTTTTTGAAATCATGTCCCAAGAAATTTATCGCATTTTATGCTAGCCTTTTTTTTAAACCATTAACGAAAGTTTAGACTATGATAAAGATTATTTGGCTCGACGTAATTTATTGCAAGCGCGTGCCGTTATTATTGTTACAGTTTCAGTATGCATCGCTCTTCTTTTACAACTCCTAATGGATATCTATCTGATATTACTTAATGGATCAATAAATCAATCTGAATTTCCGTGGCCAATTACTTTATTCGGTACTACTCTTTATGTTGGTAGGTTGATTACATCGTCGCTATTATCAATGTTGCTATTGATTTCTTGATCCTCAATGTGCTTTATCGTGATTTTTTGACCGGACTGCGCCATCCTCTTGTCGCTACTTTGTTCGCGTTATGTCGATAGCCATGTTATATTCTATACCGAACAGCAAAATAACAATTGTGCAAGCTGCCAAATTTGGTGTTTATTTTTTTTTGATAATATCTATATACATCTCTTGTCTTGAGAATGGTATGTTTTTTTATAATTTGTATTTATTATTATGAAGTTCTCAATGTCTTATGGTGTTTGTATCCAATTATAAACAATTATAAAGGATTTCAAACCTTAAGTCACGCAAACTTTTTTGCTGTTCCTCCTTTCGGGTATGTTGATTCCATCGATATGCTATGTTGTATCCTATTCATATTAATTAATAATTTATGACTTGTTCCCTTTTTTTTTAAAAAAAAG